CTTAGTTTTTGTTTTTTGGAAGAGCATGTATACTGTGGTCCCCAGGGACCTCACTGTGTCCTTAGTACTTATACTCTCCCTATGGTAGAAGACCTGCTTAGGAGTATTTTTCCCTATCAAAGATCCTGGAGTCTACTTTAAATACCCAGATGATTATAGTCACCAGATTATGATTTTGGGTACTCAAGCACTTGGATCTGACCTTCCAAAATTCAAAGTTCTTCATTTTATCTTAGGACCTTACTTTTTTCAACCACATGTAGAAAGATGCATGAATTTTTATTAGAGCTTGCAATGGGCCAAGCGGCCTAGCCTGCCTGGCCCTAAAAACTAGGGCTTGGGCTGCAAAATATGGTCCGAGGGTCTGGCCAAAGCAAGAATACCATGTTCTGAAGGCCAAGCCTGGCCAAGGCACGGCATGCTTGGCCCTACCCAGCCCAGCTCACTTTCTATTTATTATTTCAGTCTACTAGACCCGGCCCCGCTCAGACATGGTTAGGACCGAGTGTGGGCCTAGGCGGCCCAGGCCACCAAGGTTGGCCGACCTGTTGCAAGCCTTAATTTTTTAATGAGATTGGTCCAAGGCGTTATATCCCATAAATTTATGGTCCTAGGAAACCCTACCCAAGGGAGCATGTACCTGCGGGGGCATGTTAAATTTTTGCATTTGGGAAATTTGTATAGGCTCATAGATGCTTGAGGATGAGTTGCAATCCTATTTGATTTCTTCAAAACCAGCATGGAAGCGACAAGATAATGTGCTACGGCCCCTAAACCCTATCTCATGAAACACCACTGTTTGGTCGTCCATTTGTGGCCAGAAGTTTGTTACCTAACATCAAATTAAATGAAAGTGGAAACTGACAAAACCATGGTCTTTTTCACTCTGATTGCTGATATGACATGGAACCAACCCATAACCCTATTTCACCATTACTTCAACTTGGTCCTCCTTTCACTTATGGGCCTTATGTGCTTCCTATTTGTAATCCATGTCAGATATTTTCTTGGGCATTTTTAGTTACACCAATGTTTTGCTATACATGGGTGGAAATCCTGCTATATGTGGTTCTATGCTATTTTCACACATGTTTTGGGTGGAAATAGCAAAAAAACGGATCCACATTCCAGTTCTCCTTCCATTTATTGTTTTGCTATACAGTTTGAGGAACCTTGCTATGGTGGCCACCACTTACCTTGTCATGAGAAATGTTTCCGCATGTGGGATGGCGCAGATTGCGTTGTCCACCTATCTAACGGTGAGCGTGGTGCTATTGCATTGTACCGATGGTGCGAATCATGCTCTCCGAGGCGTATCCAACACTAATGCATTGCCTCATGGTGAGTGGATCCCCCCTTGTAAAGCAACCTCACTGTTTGGGCCCGAGGAAAACTGATATTTGTAGATTTTCAAATTATATAGTTTTGAAAATTCCTCACTTGGATTCCTGTTTCTAGAATTAAGACTTTTTTTAAAAAAAAAGTCTGTATGTCTCCTAAGAGACAGAATTAAGACAACTTCTTTGTGAACTTTCTTCATTAAGTTTTCTTCCAAATATCCTGTCCTCATGTTTTGTGATATATATGGTCATCTAGTATTTTGCTATAGAATACTTCCCAGTACAGGATAGAATGGCGCATCAAAAAGGGTATGAATGCATCATATACAATACAAGAGGTTTTTAGCTCATATCTACAAGACCTATTCTCTATAATGTTCCAAACTTGAATCAAACTCTAATAAGCATCTTGCTCTTAATGGTCAAACAAATCAAATTGGGGTCGGCTACACGAATCATGGTCTGTCATTCTATAAATAAAAACCATTTACAATCTCAGTAATCTTATCAAGCGTTGTGGCCAGAGCAACTTGTTGTCAAACCTCCAAATTCATGCATCTTACCGTGCGAAAGAATGTAGTCTTCGGATTTTTGGAAAAATATAAGGCCTCATAATGGTTGAGGTTGAAGCCAATCTCCTAATTCATGGGGAGTTACCATGCGGACTGCAGCCAATCTCCTAATTCATGGAGAGTTACCATGCAGACATGATAACCGCATCCTTTAGCCATAGACAATAATACCATAGTTTTTGCTTTTTGGACAGTGAAGCTGGGGAGTTTACATCCGCACACTAACCGCGTCCTTTATCCATTGACAATAATGCCATAGTTTTTTATTTTTGGAAGAGTATGTATAATGTGGCCCCAGGGATCTCAGTGTGTAATTAGTACTTATGCTCCCTACGGTAGAAGAGGAGTATTTTTTCCTATAAAAAATCTTGGAATCTACTTTAAATACTCAAATGATTATGGTCAAAAGATTATGATTTTGGGTCCTCAAGCGCTTAGATCTGACCTTCCAAAATTGGAGGATCGTCATTTAATCTTGGGACCTGATTTTTTTAAAGCACATGTAAAAGATGCATGAATTTTTGTTAGGGCTAGCCTGTCCGGCCCTAAAAAACCTGGGGCTTGAGTTGCAAAATATGGCCTGAGGGTCTGGCCAAGGCAGGACTACCATGGTCTGAAGGCCAAACCTGGGCCAAGGCATGACATGCTTGGCCCTGCCGAGCCCAGCCCAGCCCAGCTCCCTTTCTTTTTATTATTTGAGTGTACTAGGCCCGGTCCCACTCAAACAAGGTAGGGACCCGGCACAAACAAGCTTGGACAGTGCAGATTGCGTTCTCCACCTAACTAACGGTGAACGCGGTGCAATGCATTTGGGTACAGTCTGATGGTGCGAATCACGCACTCTGACACGAATCCAACGCTAATGCATATCCTCATGGTGAGTGGATCCCCCTTGTAAAGCAACCTCACCATTTGGGTCCGAGGAAAACTGATATTTGTAGATTTTCAAATTCTATGGTTTTGAAAATTCATTACTTGGATTTCTGTTTCTAGAACTTTAAGACAACTACTTTTTTGTGAACATTCTTCATTAAGTTTTCTTCCAAATACCTTGTCCTCAGGTTATGTGATATATGGTCATCTGGTATTTGGCTATAGAATATTTCCAAGTACAGGAATTGAATGACTCATCAAAAAGGGTATGAATGCATCAATACAAGCGCTTTTAAGCTCATATCTACGCCATCGATTCATTGTAGTTTCCCAATCTTGAATCAAACTCCAAGGAAGTATCCTGCTCTTAATGGTCAAACAAATCAATCCTGAATCATGCTTTGAGAAGGTTTTTCAGACTTGGGTGACTGTAGGAACCAATCCTGCCTATTCATGTAGCATCATAACACAGAAGGATTGGGTATGGAAATCGGCCATATCGAACTCCATTCCCAAAATAAGTTGCAAATCATCCATTGGAATGAGTAAGAGGCTAGTGGAGCCTATCCATTTTTGCTCCATTCAAATGACTTGCTGTGGTTTTTCTTCTATCCTCCCAACTTTTTCCTAGCAATAGGGCAGCGCATCTGAACTTAAAGAAGTCTCACTCTTTCCTCACACATTGGTAGGTCTTTGGTCTTTGTCTGCAGCATGTCGAAGACCCCATGGCTTCGGCGCTCATGGTCAATCATGTTTCAGATATATCCATAAAGAAGAACAGTATATTCTTTCAGCATTTTCGCTGTGCCGAGCTCAAGGGTAGTGAAATGGCACACATGACAGAATTGATACCCTATAATTAGTCTAGAGAATTTTCCATACTAAATGCTATGCATTTCCAGATGAAATTGGAACTTACAGTTCCTTCTTAAGGTCTTCCTGAGTTTGGTTGGTGCAAAGCTATCCATGATATCACCATTCCTCCTAAACCATGAGAACATGGCAATGGCATTAGTGGCAAGAGATACATGGGGCGGTGTATAACAAGGATTCATCTTTATGAGATCAAGTTAGCTTGAAATACTAACCCATCCACCGAAACATAGTCTATAGCTCATTGAAATTTGTCAAACCACTGATGCTTCAAAGTTAAAGGAGTCCGTCGCTATTGCATTCTCCAATGGAACAAGGGCTTTGTGCTCAATCTGTCTCCCAAATTCTTGGTCTGCTAAGCAATTGGGTCTTGGGTTCCTTGGTCTCTTTACACCATAAGCGGGAAGAGTTGAGAATGGGGTCAGAGCCACAGTGGTAGTACCACCTGAACCCCGATTAAAGTCACGGCCTCCATTCTCTAACATTTTAAAAAAAACAAAATAACAAAAAAGAATTTACCCTTTCCAAAATAAAGGGCTTGTGTTCCCACTGATCTACCCAAAAAAAAAAAGAAAGAAAAGTGGAGACAGTAATGATGAGTAAAAAAAAAAAAAGAAAGAAAAGTGGAGACAGTAATGATGAGTAAAAAAAAAAAAGAAAGAAAAGTGGAGACAGTAATGATGAGTAAGGTTGATAACTACAACATCTCAACCAGATACGTGAGATATTAACCTGGACGTTAATATACATAAATAAAGCCAGTTTTAACACAACAAGCCGAGTCAAGTATGAGTTATATGGCATTTCTGATTCAATTTGAAAATGCATGCACAAATCTTGATTTATAGAACCCTATCACAGAAAAAGATGAATTGGACGTCAGCAGAAAGAGATAAGGATGCCGCAGACATGAATGTAATTGTCCCCGCCTCCCATATCTGTACAGGGTAGAATCCGTTCAAGAGCAGGACCCACTGGTGAAAACTTAATGGACTCTTAATGACTTCACAAAAGTGAGCTTATTTCTATCTTAAAGCACGAAGATAAATATTTGTTTCAGTTTTGAAGCTCTCCTAGAACGCAAAGTCGGCATTGGAGTTTGTCTACAATTTTTGCAGGTTCACGGGGCATTTTATCACAAAATTGCAGCCACCAGCAGCAAAATTACATAAAAGAAACTGGCCCAAAAATCGGGCCTTGCATTTTTCTCTTTTATGTTTATTAGACAAAGAAACCAACATTCAGGAATCAGGAATGTTATTGCTCAACTCTATACGCCAAACAATTCATAAGTCGTGTTACTATCATAATTTTACTTTCACTAACATTTATTGCATGATCATTTAAAATTAGACATCCTCCATCATTTGACCATTTAGAGTTCTAATTAAATACAAAGGGAATAACAGGAAAACAAACAATGTTCGTTTTTCTTACCATTTCAAAAAATACTCACGTTTCCTACCAGTACAGAACAAGATAATTTTTGGACGACCAAGAGACATACTTCTGCCAGCTGAGGCTTTCAAAAGGCACTATAAGGAGCACACAAATGCACATGGAGAAAAATCGGTATGGTAAATTAATCACTTTTGAAGTTTACAACCATTCCATTTGTATCCGATATATCAAACTCGCGGAACAGCAAGTCTCCTGAATGTGAGTATACTACAACCTCATATGTTGGCTTTCTTGAATAAACATCAGCTTCCTCTTCATGCATTCAAGCAAGTGTAACTTTGTGTGACATTCAACAAAGTCGGAACTTGAATTGCTCACACCGATCCAGTCAGTGTTCAACTCAGGTCCAGAGAATATCGATAACTATAATCACTGGATGAAAGTTAAGCTCATGATATCCTCGGCCTACTCTTTGTTGTGCAACGACTAACTGCACAAAAAAATTTGTCTTGTAGGTTTTGCCCCTCCACTTAGACAATAAATCAGAGAAAACCCCACTATATCAATGCCTCCATCTCCATTAACAAACAAAAATGAAAAAGATAGTAGTGGCTGGTCATTCAGTGACAGTGGTCGTATTTTAAAGGCCAGAACAAAAAATTCCATTGAAGAGCTATACATAGTAGATCATCCCCACTTCCAACAGGGATACATGAGGAACATTTAGTGCAACATCAGGCCCTCTGCAATTCTTGCTGAAAAAAGCATACACAACATCTATCGCCAATTTCTTGAGTAAAGATGATGATTTCTTCGCCTTGGCATATGAGTGCCCTAAAATATATGCCACCCCAGCCTCCCTTGCTTTCATAATCTCCAAGCACTCCTGTCCAATAACGGGCTCCTTTCCAAGCTCATCAAGGCCATCCCATATTTCAGAATTACCCATCTCAGGCATCATTACTTGAATATCCATTGAGCAAGAAGACTGCATGTTCTCTTCTTGGTTTGGGTGGGTTAACCTTTGCATATGCATATTGAGGCTATCGCTACCCGGTGATATTCTCATCTGAGATGACGTCTCAGGCTTGAGTATAGGTCCAAGTTCTCTCTCTTCCATTTGAACCAACTTAAAGATAGCAGAAACCAGCCTGTTCTCAAAATCATAATTCTCTTGCTGGAGATCCTTGTATCCATACCTCACAGTACACCTGAACATTTGGAACTCCTTGGGGCCAATTCGGCTCACAAGGAAACGCTCCTTTTCGAGGACATGTGGAACATGAACAGATTTGATGCATACAAAAACCAGCACTTGATGAAACGCGGGCAAATTTGTCACAAAGTGCCCAAAAACTGCAGGTACCCCAGTGACCAGATCGGTGTACAGCAGGCCAATGCCAGGCACTCGAACCATGCCAAGGCTAGGACCTAAGCTCAATAGCCTCTTCATTGACACCTTGTTTTCAAGGTCAAACTCATGCTTCTTTATGGTGCCATAGTGCCAAACGTACATGATTCCCATGAAGATGAGAGAAAGAGACAACGGGATCCATCCACCTTCATGGACTTTTATAAGAGAGGCCGATAGGTATAATAGCTCGATAAAGCCAAAGAAACTCAAAAAGAGAAGGGCAACAATAACCTTTTGCTTCCAAACTACCACAATCACCAGTGACATCAAGCAAGTAGTGACAAACATGACTGTCACAACTGCAAGACCTGAAATCAAACAGGCAAAAATGGTGCACTTCAATAAAGAAGATTTAGAAAGAGAACAGTAAAACATGTTTCCAAGTGATGTTAACATCAAGCTGGGAAAAACTTTAGAAAGACAAATGTGACAATAAAGAGAGCATGTAATAGTACCATAAGCATGACCGATCGTGTTTGTATCCCTTATTCCAACTGTAATAGCCAGACAGAGACACATTAGAATCCAATTGATTTCGGGAATGTAAATCTGCCCATATATTTCACTTGAGGTATGGACAATCTTCACGCGAGGGAAACAACTCAGTGCACAGCATTGGCTTATCATAGAGAATGTTGCAGATATGACAGCCTGACTTCCCACGACAGCTGCCAGGGTGGCAACTATAAAGACTGGCCAAAATACAGCTTCTGCAAGGACATGCATGATGGGGTGAGATCGAAACATATATGATACTCGAATACGAGGACAGGAAATGCAAGGGAAAGAGAGGAGTAGCTTACCTGGTATGGCCTTATAGAAGCTTCTTTGAATATCTTCATGGTGTTTTGAGAGATAAGCCGCTTCACCCATATAAGCAAGAATCAAACATGGATACACCAACAATGTGAAAGCAACCTGTCATTACTAAAAAGCAGTAAGAATGGAAGAATCAAAATGTAAAGGTAAACGCCAAGTGAGCCCGTAAAACCAAGAATTTACCTTGATTGAGAGCTGGGAGAAATGACCCAAGTTAGCAAACATTGCCTCCGCCCCTACAACCAAGAAACCAGAAGTGGTGAGGAAAGAAGTCATCTATCTTCTTTTTAAAAGAGTGCCATATCACACACGCATGAGTGCAAACACATGCACACCTGCGCGGGCACATACGAGCGCGATGTGCGCACACACACACATGCAGAGAGAGAGAGAGAAAGACCTGTAATGCACAGGATCACCCCGCCTAGTGACACCCAGCCCTCTTTACCAGTGGCTTTAAGGAACTTGAACATGTAGGATGGAGAGAGGGCATGGAAAACACTGGTATTCCAGCGAAAAATGTTGTATATACCAATCCCACTAATGCATAGAAGCCAAGCTGTAACAATGGGTGCAAACATAAAAGCCACCCTGTGTGTTCCATGATGTTGTAGAGAAAATAGCCCCACTAAAATGAGACATGATATTGCTACAATATAATCTGCATAGCCAGGAAGCATCTTAATGTTAAGATGGATATCTAATATATGAGGCGATCAAAACAACAAACAAATTTGTGCATTAAGTGCAAATACGATTGGACTCACTCTCATGAAGCTCAGTAATCTTCACTTTCACCCCTGAAACTGCCGAAAGAACTGCAGGATGAAGCAAAACTTAGCAAGTTGTCAATTTGGCCCAAACCAAACACGAATGAGATATAATAAACCAAATTATTTCTTGTTTATTTCTTTCAGGAAGTAAAAGAAGCATGGTATATAAATTATTATGTTATGTTGAGTGGAAGAAACTTTCAAGTTTCTAAATTGTGAAGGACAGGTTAAGAAACCGCAACCATGCTAGATACATTTCATAATCAATTTATCTGAATAGAAAGAACCCATTTTAATTTAATAGCCATTGCCCAGTACAAGAGACATCATTGCCTTCTTGTATGAAAATTATTAACATCTGCAAACTGATAATTGGCCAGATATTCCCAACATTAAGAGTTATTTTCAGCCTACAAAAGCACTCAAGTTACGCAAATACTTTCTTTTGCAGTTCTAAATTTAGCGTTTTTTCAGCAAATTTTGTGCTTACACAAAAAAAAACACATTCAACTCAAAAAAATGAAAAACTAAGGCAACCAAAAGTGACCAAACTCAACTGCATTAATGAATAACTTCCTGCTGGAAGATATCCATTTCCATGTCAATTCCAAAAGAGAGAAAAAACTATATATAAAAAATTACAACTGCATAGATGCAATAACTCAAGGCCTCAAAGTTTTTCTGATAGAATACTATCATCACCTGAGATTGTTGGAGTTAGTATCCCATCACCAATCACCATGCAAGTTCCCAACAGCACAATCATCAAGAGTCCAAGTCGAAATCTTGGGTGTTTTTCAAAGAAAGATTTCAGCATGGAACTCTCCCATGTCTCCACTCCATCTTGCATTTTATAGGCAGACAACTTCTCATCTGCGGCTTGTTTATTGGGCAGTATACAAAGCCGAGCATGTCTACAAAGAAGAGAATACAAGGCAAAAGTACCGCCTAAAAAAAGAAGGAATAACAGCAGACAGAAGGGGTAGAATTAGTGTATAAATAATTTCTTTGTATTTTAATCCAGATAGCACCATGAAAACAGTAGGGTTTCTCATTCTCATTGTTAAACAAGAAAACAACTTTTCAGCTACATTTTTTAACAGCTCAGTTTCTCATGTGGTACCTTCGCCATTGTCATCGGCTGACAAAACAATGAAGATGTATTTAAATAGTGGAATAAGTGTGAAAGTCCAAAAGATGAAAGAAAGAACACCGAGTATTTCTTCATCATCCTCACGGAGGCTCAACTTCCCAGAAAAGGTGCTCTTATACACATAGAGAGGTGAGGTACTTAGGTCACCATAAACTACTCCCAAGCTCTGATAAGCGAGCATTAAGATGGCCTTACATGAAGTCCCTTTCCGGTTCTGATCCACAATGAAATGTTCCAAAATCAATAACGGAAGAAATCTCAATAGCATCTCACTTTCAGCATTACGAAACTACGCAGATTGTCCATGGAATAACAAAAAGGAAAAATATACTGACATTCAAAGGACAATGGTTTTTCATAGTCCCTTGAATAATAGCATACTTTGATATCTTACCTATTAAAAAAAAAAAACAGAAGAGAAACTTAAAGATGGGTATATCTATGTTCAATCGAAACTACCGAGAATTCAAAACATTACAAAAAATGGGGAATAAATGAAACTACAAAAATATGAAGGGGAGTTTAGTGAGAGCCAGAAATGGACAAAACAGTCCCTGAATGTAGAAGGAAACATAAAGTAAAAATTTAGACTTTGGAATAGAGTAACTAATAGGTCATTCACCATATCATACAGCATACACTTGCTAGTAATCATCATGTGCAATACATCTCACTGCCCTCCTAGACACTTTTAAATAATTAGTCACTCTTCCGACACATCTATTGCACATATGCATGACCATTCTAAAACTTTAGGATCTGTATCTTCTAGAGTTCATCACTCGTTTAAATATAAAAAGCTTTGTATCCAAAGAACATGCAGTCTGGTGGTTAAAAAAGTCTCCGTTTGTGCCAATTCTCAGTCACTTGTTTAAAAGAGAGCTATATAGCCATATTCTACACAAACCATAGGAACATTAAGCATATATTAGTGATAGATTTTCATAAGTATATACTAAATTTAAATTTTGAAATTTGGTTTTGATTTTAGAAATAAGAAAAAAGCAACTCTTCTCCTCTTAGTTTTTCACTTTGACGAACCTTTTCTTTACACCATATATGTGCCTTTTATGGCATCACCATGAATTTTCTATAATGAGAGCAAATTTACAATCTCAGACATGAGTATATATATATATATATATATATATATATATATATAAGGATTATATACTATGTGACCATTTACCATTATTACTAGGAGGTCAGAATCATTCCTAGCCATTAGATGTCAAATTGGATGGCTGTGTGTAACGAAGTCCAAGAAATTTTACTTTTCGAATTTTATGTCCAGTCAATGACACATTATAACCACCTGATTTAAAATTAGACAGACAAGAGTGATCCTTACCTCCTAGTATTAAAAGTAAATGGTTCCTATGTACACTTTTTCATATATATAAACTGACATAATTGAAGCTTCTTCCTCCCAGATCCAACACCTACTGATAGGAATCAATTTTTTTTAATTTGAGAGAAGGTTAATTTTTATAAATATGTAGTAAAGCTATGCTTGGAATCAAAGTTGAAAATCTCCCCAACCTTTTGTATGGAGGACAGAATATTTATAATAAAAAAGACTCTTTAAACCTAAATACATAGTAGCTATATATTGTAAGAAGAAGACTTGGATAAGTGATTTTCCAAGGAAGCCCTTTGCCAAACCATGCTTACCACTCCCAAAAGAACAGGATATATTAGGCCTCAAATTTTGAGGATGTTACCTACTGAACCTAGCAACCAACCGCAAGGGACAAATGAACTTCAGTATGAACCCTGGAACTGTATGAAACAGAATCACTCCCCAGGATTGCATATTGACTCTTCAATTTTGGACAGTCAGATGACTCAGATCTAGGTATACTCAAGAATCTTTTTTATTTTGTTCTTTATTTTTTTAATATAGTCATCTGATTATCCTAAAGTGGATACCAAAATTTCAGATCAAGAATATCCTCCTCACTAAGTCATTTTCTTGAGGAAATAACTTTCTTGAGGAGGTAAATGTAAATTTTGCTCCAGTAGGAGCATAGCATACACCCTCATATTTTATAATAAAATTGTTCTCAACTCTCGAGTTTTTCATAGAATTTTCAACATTTATATCATATAGTGTTTTAAATATATGTATAACATTGAACACAACACCGAGTGAAAAATTAGGAATTTAATTCCTTTTTGAAACAATTAGATTTATATTTCATTTCTTCATACTTCCATCATTCCATAGATCACATCAACAACATGCATGTTCTCTACACTTCAGTTACAAACTCTATACTTCACATCTGTTTTAATATCCTTGGTGCCGATTGTCACCAGTATGTCTGTGTTAGAAAAGTGCAGTAAATCAAAGATCATGCCAATACGAATCAGCAAACGAAAATTACATAACCACATAAGGCAAACGAGGAACTTGGATGAAGAAGGCAAAGGGCAATCAGAGAAAAGTATAAATACTAAATTTAATACAAACATCCCATATAAAATAGTCATCTCTCCCATAGTTTCACCGCCAATCTGAAAACGTTGATAGTTGTAGAACAAATAAATGGAACGATTGGATGTCAAGAAAAAAACACTCGTGGTCACCAGAAATCTTTTGCGAAGTTGTGCGGTCAAATTGAATAAAAAACTAATCAATTATCAATATATTGGCAAATTCTAACAATTAGCACTCAATAATGTAGACAACAACCAAAATAGCAGACATTCGAGGCGAGTTTGTTTGTTTGCATTTTTTATCGACTTTTTGTGCACTTTTGCAGATAATTTCAACAACAAAATAGCCTCATTGGGTTGGTTAATTTCTCCTAAATTATACTCCACCTAGTGGAATATGCCTTAAACAAGCAAACAGGTTCCTCTTCTTCTTTTTTTAACAGTTTCCAACTTGATTGGAGTAGTCTCTTTGCAAGACAGGGGTAACTAAAACCATTTAATATGAAAAGAAAAAAATCCATTTTTTCCATTTAGTGAGTTATTAATAATATTAATTGCAAACAATAGAAAGAAGCATTTTTTTTTCAAAAAAAAAAGAGAGGCAAAAGTCATTCTAAATGCCAAAATATATAGTTTCCTGCGCAAAATGTTTAATTGCTCGCCTCATTAAGCACATAAGAACCGGGAACCACAAAAATACACTGCAAGTATAGTGTGAGAAAAAAAAAAAACAGAAAAATACAGTGCAGGCCAGTTTAGTTTGAGAAAAAACACAGTAAATGAGGAAAGCAATCAAACGGAGAAAGCAGCCATCAAAGAATCTCCAGAAAACTGCAACAGAGAGAGAGAGAGAGTGAGGCACTAAGAGAGTGAAACCATAGAAGCTCTACAGTACCAACCCAGAGAAGAGTTTCTCTGCAAAACTCACCAGAGAAAACCCAAATAGTACAATGGAAAAAAAAAAAACAAAGAAATGGGTACCTGTAGAGCGAGGCCCCCATCTATAACTGGTGTTTCAGGGTCCATGGCATCAGAGAGCAACCATCAGAAAACCTCTGTATCTGTTAATTGGGGAGTCACCAAAAAATAAATAAAAGTCTATTTTCCATTGACGAGAAGAAAGTGAGTAAAAGTTGGCCCACTCCCACTGCAGAGTGTTGAGACCGTCGAAACGATGACGGTTTCTTTCTCTTGCTCTGTCTACGACAACACGACACGGGAAGTGAGGGTTTTTCCTCTTTGTAAGAATATGTGATTTGAATGCGGGTGATGAATCTTCTATATATGAAATGTCGATTTTCTCTCTCTAAAATTGCAGAAAGCGGGTGCCTTTTGCGTGACTTGTGTATCGAGCTTCTCACTCTCTCTAAGTCTAAACAAGACTTCTTGCCCTCTCTCCAGAATACGAGGATTCAAACTCAACTCGGTTGTGTACTTTCTTTTCGTCTACAGTCTCTCGCTCAGCATATCAGGAGCTCGGTTTCTCTCTCTAAATCATATGCGCCAAGTATATTTTTTCCCTTAACTTTCTCTCTCTAGGTAAGAGACGGCATCACTTTCTCTCTCTAGGTAAGAAACGGCATCACTTTCTCTCTCTAGGTAAGAACCGGCGTAACTTTCTATCTCTAGGTAAGAAACAGCGTAACTTTCTCTCTCTAGGTAAGAAACAGCATGACTTTCTCTCTCCAAAGTGTATTAAGAGAAGGGGGAGGCTTTTCTCTCTCTAAGTAAGAAACAGCATGATTTTCTCTCTCTAAAGAGTCAGAGAGAGGAGAGGGTTGGTTAATTTTTGGTTAGAGAGAGAGAAATCACGAAGGATGCATTTAATGCCACGCCCCACCCACCGTGCAACCGCACCCACCCACGTCCGCGCCCTCCCATTGCAATTGTATGACCCAACCATCCCTCGAAATTTCGATTTTACCTCTGTGTCCGGGAAAACACACCTGTTTTTATCGGAAATATCGTTTACAGCCTCTGGTGGTCCTTACTCTAGGTAAAATATTCCTAGGATTATATGATCCCGTGTGAGCATGCTCCCTATTTACTCCCCCTTGGGGTATGTTTGTTTGATGGTTGGAAGAAATGTAATTTTTTGTGTTTGTTTAGGAAGCTGCGCTAATTACGGGGTAATACGGAAGTCGCTACTTTTTTATTTGAACCCATTTTAATGCTTTTTCATTTTAAGTATGTTGTTTTGGAAGCCATCATAAGCCAAAGCTTTCAATACATTGTAGTGTGCTTCGTCTAACTAACAATCATAGGAAGTGCTACAATAACTGGAAGCTATAACTTTTGAAAGTCGTGGCTTCATTTATCAAACATGCTCTAACAATATTTTTAGGCTCAAAATTTGAGATGTAATCTCCTCAAACTTGTGATTAACTTCTAAAAAAATGTATGGTTTATATAGAGAGGTGGCCTTAAACGATCAAAGTATCACACACTTCTGAATGGTATCGAAAGATGTTGCTTCGGTCCTAGAAATCCTCGTAATGACTTGAAAATTTGTTTTCATAGCTAATTATATAATTGAAAGCATTGAAAATAATAGATTGAGCAAATCTATGAACACTTGAAACTCTAAAAAATAGACAATTCAGATATTTTATTACAAGATGCACTATTAACTTGAAATCCTTTTTTTTTTTCTACATCTATTCATCTTTAATTCAAGATGATTAATTGAAAGGTTTCCAGGGTAAAAAACCTCTTCTATTAAGTTTTTGAGGTGCCCCGTGTATAGTATAATGTTGACCATGTATATAATTTTTGAAAAAATATATAAAGCAACTCTTTATTCTTAGCACAAGGATGTCATAATCACTCTTATCTTTTGGATTTCAAATTGAGTAGTTGTGAGCATGTCATTAACTAGACTCAAAGTTCAAAATAAAATTTATTGAACTTTGTAATACAATTCAAACCATCCAATTTGACAACTAATGGTTAAGAGTAATTGTGATCTCCTTGTAAGAAAGATTAATGATCTTATAAAATACAAACCCATAATTTTTTTCTTTAGAAAGTAATGTTATAATATTGAATACAAATCATCCAAGTTTCCAGTAGTCAAATCTAAGTATTCAAGAATTTAAAATCTAATTATTTTTAATAAAAAAAAAACTAAACATAATTTCAAAATATATCTTAAATTTTACACTAAAAATATCCTCCCAAGCATGCCGATTTAGAATTAGAAAAAGTATACAAAGATACCATTTACTTTTAATACAAGGAAATTATAATCACTTTTTTTTTTTTTAGTCATCAAGTTTCATTAAAAGGAGTAAAGGCTTAAAGTTAGAGGTCACAATCACTTTTGTTCATCAAATTTCAAATATTATAAATATGTCAATTATTAGATCCAAACTTTTAAAAAAAAAATTCTCGAACTTTGTGATATACTTTAAGATATCCAATTTGACATCTCATGGTTAGTACCAATTATGACCTCCTTGTGCCAAAGATAAATGGCCTCATAATATCCGATCCCGTAAGAATTAAATGTGCTCGAGCACTATTCGTGCTAGAAAGAAAAGAAAATTGTTTCATGCAAGCTAGACCGCATTTCTACCTATGCAGTCCAGAAAGTATAAAGCATCAATCTTAAAAATGGATACCAGTAGGGTCCCATTTAAAAGCAATGGAAACTAATAGTCCAAATATTTTCTTACTAGAATTATTATTTTTAATTTTAAAAATTTATTTATATTCATGATCTCCATACTAGAGATGGGAAAATATGGGATTAGCCCACTAGCTCATATGAACATATGAGCCTAATGGGCCAGATTGAACCTGGATCGATCTGACGATCACATAT